GGGGCAGGTGAGCGGTCGGCTGGTTCCCAGGGGGCAGGTGAGCCGTGGGCCGGTGCCCAGGGGGCCGGTGAGCGGTGGGCAGGTTCCCAGGGGGCAGGTGAGCCGTGGGCCGGTGCCCAGGGGGGCATGGGGGCAGGTGAGCGGTGGGCCGGTGCCCAGGGTGCCGGTGAGCGGTGGGCCGGTGCCCAGGGGGGCAGGTGAGCGGTGGGCAGGTGCCCAGGGGACCGGTGAGTGGTGGGCCGGTGCCCAGGTGAGCGGTGGGCAGGTGCCCAGGGGGGCAGGTGAGCGGTGGGCAGGGGGGCAGGTGAGCGGTGGGCAGGTGCCCAGGGGACCGGTGAGTGGTGGGCCGGTGCCCAGGTGAGCGGTGGGCAGGTGCCCAGGGGGGCAGGTGAGCGGTGGGCAGGGGGGCAGGTGAGCGGTGGGCAGGTGCCCAGGGGACCGGTGAGTGGTGGGCCGGTGCCCAGGTGAGCGGTGGGCAGGTGCCCAGGGGGGCAGGTGAGCGGTGCCCAGGGGGGCAGGTGAGCGGTGGGCAGGTGCCCAGGGGACCGGTGAGTGGTGGGCCGGTGCCCAGGTGAGCGGTGGGCAGGTGCCCAGGGGGGCCGGTGCGCGGCCACCTGCGCGGAGGGGGGAGGGAGGAGCTGTGCTGAGCGCAGACCGGCCCAGCCGCAGGTGTCCGCCGAGCACTGAAGTTAAAGCCTCTTCGTGGAACCTGACGTCTATTGAGGGTTTGCGTTGTGTTTGGCGTCGCTTTTTTAATCTTCATTCCCACCCTCCGGGTGAGAACTCATATTAACCACTTTTTAAAAGAGGAAGCTGAGGTGCGGTGAATAGGGTGCCCCTGTCTCAGCAGGAAAGATGTTGGGTTTGGTGGCAGGTAGACCGTCTCCGGAGCCTGTGTAGCCGCCAGTGCCCTGAAACCCTGGACGCTGGAGAAGCAGCAGAGCGAGGGTCAGGCTCTGAAAGTACAGAGCAGAACGTGCTGGGTCCTGCAGAGCCCCAGACATCACGGGCTGGGCTCCAGGTCACCGCCGTCAGTCGAGGCCTGGTCTTTTCACTGGTGCAGGGTCTGGCCTTCAGTTTGTTGAAATCAAAACACCTGTGAAGCGGGATGGCCTGAGGTCCACCTGTGTCAGATACCTGCTTCCCCAGGCGCATCCACAGAAACAAGAGCTAAGTCCCTGTTGCATCTCATCAGCCTCCTAATGAGAGGATGTTATTCCAGGATCCGATGTAGTAAAACTCCTCCGCTCTAAGCCACAGGCAGTAACAAAAGTTCCCTCTTCCTTCCAGGTGTGTTGGATTTTCAGGGAGTTGGGACTTTGTAACAATGACCATTCTTCCAGTTACTCGTGTGTTTCAGGCCTTGATCGTTTCAGTTTTTCTTTTAACAAGTTTTTCTCTAAGCGTGATGCCAATACATTGAGTTGGAGGTATTTATTCCCAGGAGCTTGCAGAGAGTGGAGGCTACTTCTGAGGGGCGGAGAAGACATTTCATTTGTCTTTTCTACTTGTCATCTATTGTACAAAACACCCATCTCAGAATGTTTAATTTTCGACAAATTTGTGCTGAGTGTTGACTCTGAGCATGGGTCTGTTCTGAGCCGAGGATATAGGAAATGTAAGAAACAGACCTCTCTCTAAAATCAGTCCGTTAAAAAAATTAGTTTTAAAAAAAGGACTGATATTATTATATGTTGGTGTTTTGGTTTTTATTTTATACAATTTAGCATATCCATGCCTCTTCAGTCAGCACTTACCGGCATGATTAAGGGTGATAAGCTACTACCCTTGGCCTTGGTTATGAATCTTAAAAGAATATGCACTCCCTATAAAATAATAACGTGAAATAGTTTTACTGAGGAATTTGATGAGGCAAATTTTAAGCTTCCAGTATGCTTAAGATTGACTGCTTTGGGGGTGGGAGGAAAGTGAGGTAATTCTTGCTTGCCGTAGCAGTTGCTTCATATTTTCTGTTTGATGACCTCTGGCCATATTGTTTCTACAGGTGATGGGAAACCCAGGAGCTTTCAAAAGGAGCCTTATGTTCTCAGCCTTGTCCTACTTGGGATTTGAAACTTACCAGCTCCTTTCTCCAGCTGCTGTGGTTCATGCTGCAGCCAAAGGTGAGTCAGCTGCCCGTTGGAGCACTGAGGTGGTTTGTGTGTGTCGTGTTTGGGTTAGTAACTTACTTATTTTTTAATAGATACTAAAACTGACATTATTATAGGCTAGAGTATTTTCTTCTTTCCTCTACACATCAGTCTGACATATATTCTTCTAATAACTACATCTCCTTCAGTGAGAAATACTCTGTTAATATGTTATAATTTTATAGGACCCTTGGGCTAAGAGTGTTTGATACATTTTTAAAGGATTGAGGGGTTGTGGAGGGAAACAAGAATATCCCACAGAGACCACATCTGACCCACATACAGTACTTACTGTCTGGGTCTGTATAGAAAAACTTTGCCAATCCCTGCTACATAACGATATGATTGGTTTCCTTATTGCTAACATGTTACACTCTTGATACAGTTAAGAAATGCCAGTTACTGTGAGATAGAAATATTTATAAACAATGTGGTTTGGTACTAAATATCAACTGGTTGAAAAGTGGAAAAATTACATTACATTTGTTATTTGGTATACTACACAGATAAACATATATTAAGAGCTGCCATATTTTAAAAATTAAATTTAAACAAGTTGCATATGTAGCCAGAGCCAAAATTTCAGCGTATTAGAAAAAGTCTCTTAATTGCCAGGTTAGGCCCTTTCCTAGCCCCACTTTGTAATCATGAAGGAGGTGGGGAAAGAAGCAGAGATTTTATTTAAAGTTCTGGTAGATGAATTTCAGAATATTAGCTAAAAATGACTAGTTCCTGATTGTATTTATCTGTGACTGTTCTTTAAAAAAACAGGTAATGAGAACTCCGTTTTTTACCTTTCTTGTAAGTGCCATTTTCACGAAGGACAAAATAGAAGGACTTGGTATTGTCACTGGCTCGTGACATTTCGGCAATAGAATCACTGGGCTTAAAGCTCCTGAACTTTTCACCACAGCTTTCAGTATTCACAGCAGCTTGTGGAGCTGTTAGGGAGAGTGTATAATCTCACTAGAGTATTAGGTGTTAAAAAAGGTATCCTTGAGAGTTGTGCTCAGTGGGTGTACTTTTAAGGGGGGGGGTGTACGCACGCGCGCGTGCCAGTGTGCCATTAGAAGACTAATTTTACAAAAGACTCACCAAGTTAAATATTTTCAGTGTCAGTGTGAGAGCAGAGATTAGAACTTTCATCTCTTTCTGCATCTCACCCTGAGTGGTGTGCATTAGTGCCACCTCATGGCAGAAATGAGTGCAAAGCGTAGGTGCTCCTGAGCAGCAAACAGCACTTGGAAGCAAAGCCCAGATTACTTCCAGCCAGGAGACCATCGCAGTGAGAGCTCCATCATGGGAGCTGGGTCGTGTGGCCTGGCTGTGCCTTCAGCACCTTATGAAATGCTTGAGTGATAGACAATGGTCTCTTATGTCAGTAACATAGCTTATTTTTAACTATTTTCAGGAGAAGTGCAGAGCATTAAACCAGTAAACACACAGCTGGTTGGCAGAGATGAGCGTGGTCTGCACGCTCCACCCCAGTGCTGTGTGGGTCTGTAGTATCAGAGTAAGTGCCTCTTGCCTTGTAAACCACACAGAACTGTATCAAAGAAGTTGGAGATAAGTGGTTTAGAAGCTATAGAAAAATAATGCTAGCAAAAAGTTGAACTTTTATCATTTTTAAAAAATATATCTGTTGATTTCAGAGAGAGGAAGGGAGAGGGAGAGAGGGATAGAAACATCAGTGATGAGAGAGAGTCATTGATCGGCTGCCTCCTGCATGCCGCTGACTGGGGATCGAGCCCGAAACCCGGGCATGTGCCCTGACCAGGAATCAAACCTGGATCTCCTGGATCCTAGGTTAATGCTCAACTGCTGAGCCACGCTGGCCGGGAAACATGTTTTTTTTAATTACCTAGGTGGTGACTGTGGAGTTCCTGGGTCATATTAGGGACAGGGATCTCTGTCAGGCTCCTCGGGGAATGGGAGAGCAATCAGTGAGTAGACTTAAATGTCACTCTGCTGCTCACACATGCCACACGCGCACACAGATGTATTTAAATACACAGATCAGTGTATTTAATATTGTATAGGTTTCTCTCACCTCTAACACGTTTTCACAAACTTAGTGACTTAAAACAACACAGATGTATTATCTTCCAGTTCATAGGTCAGAATTCTGTAATGGGTTCTAGGAGTCATCAGGGCTGCGTGGTGAGCACCCTTACATAAGACAGAATTCAGTGTCTGCCCCTTAGTAGTGACAGGAATATCTGAAGCTCAGTACCCAGCCAGCTCAGAGCATTCCACTGTGGGTAGGGTTAGGTGTGCAGGGTAATGTCTAAACCAGTTGATGGGTTAGTTGAAGCAGCTTCAGTGACGTATGTCTCACATTCTCTGTCGTTAATTTTATCTAAGTTCTGATGATAGATTTGCCTCTTTTCCGTAAAGTGTCTGTATAAGTGGGGTCATGAAGAGAATCTAGTAGACAGTGTGGTGCAGTCCATGCAAGTTCATAATTTTCAGCACTGTGGGTGTTCTGTTATCGCTTTCCACAATGGCTGCTACTTAGCAAGTTTTGAATCTGATTACCTTTGCTCATCTATGAAAGTGTTTCTTAGAACTGTTGCCACCTGGCTTGGGTAGACCTTACTGTGTTTTTTTCTCTTATAGCCTTTAGAGTTGAAGAAATCCTCCAACAGGCAGATTACCTCTATGAGAGTGGAGAGACGGAGAAACTCTATCAGTTGCTGGCCCAGTACAAGGAAAGGTAAGCAGCGTGCAGTGGGCCTGGGCCTGTGGTCTCCTGAATAGTCTTGTGTTAAATTCAACACTTAACATGGGTCTTGGTGCTGGACGTTTTCATAGTTCTTTAAAGGTTTTTTACTCCAAAGTAATATTTCTTAAGGTTTTGGTTATAGCTATTTCTTATGTTACTCAGAAATGCTACATAGTTTATTTAGAAGGTTGTTCTACTTACTCTGTTGGAATGTTGAAATACTTTGTTCATTTTGTTACTGTTTTGGACCATACAAGGTAAGTCTCTGAGTACCTGTTTATGTCATTTATATTGTATCTCTCTCCTTTAAATAAGTATTTTAATGATGTAAGGTTTAAATGCTCTGGGATAGTTGTGTACCTTCCCTGGAGAGCCTGTGTGTTGCTTTGGAAGCAGTTTTTTAGAGAAACTACAAATACCTCCTTTTCAAAAAATACGAGGACATGTCCTGGCCAGTGTGGGTCAGTTGGTTGAGCATTGTCCCTGCACCAAAAGGTCACCAGTTTGATTCCTGGTCAGGGCACATACCCAAGTTTCGGGTTCCATTCCTAGTCAGGGCGCATATGGGAGGCATGTTTCTCTCTCCCTTCCTCTCTAAAAATCAATAAAAATATTTTAAGAAGGAGAAGGAACACTGGTGGACCAAATGTGGGTTTACAGTTGTTCATACAGGTGGCAGAGTTTATTCTTGTATTCTTTTTCCATACAAACAACTGTAAAGCTACTCTTGCTCCTTCCTGTATATAGCTTAGTAGGCTTAAAGGCAGACATTTAATAAAGAGGAATTTAAGGTTAATTTTAAAACTATTTCTGCCTTTTAATTGCGGTTACTATTTTACTTATTAACCTTTGCTTATTTTATATAATTCTGTTTAAGTGACGTGGATGGCTCATTCAGGCAGGGGTTTGTTTGGAGTGGCACTGTGCTCAGTCACTGACTGACACGAGTGTATCGCATGCCTGTGTGTGCAGGGACAATGTTGAGGGGGGGACTGAGGCACAGCAGTTTGTGCTTTAGATCAGACGCTTTCTGCCAGGCCACCGTTTCTGCTGCTCTGTCTGAGGTCCGTGCGTGCAGTCTCGTGTTATATGCCACATTCCAGAGGGCTGGTGTTCAGAGAATTCAAACACAGAGATTTAAGGAAGGTGGTATTTTAGATATTTCAGGCAGGTTAATATTTACGGGTAATACTGGGTGTTTTGTAGGAAATTTTAGCAAATAAAGTCGTGTGAGAAGAATAAACTTCTGTGAACAATGGCGTTTGGTACCGTGTTTCCGGCTGTGCCCTTGCTGGCCTGAAAGACCAGTGTATTCCTTAGTGATGTGACCTTTTACGGTGGTTAAACTGCAAGCTTCAGTGGTGGTTTTAGCCCAGGCCCGGTGGCTCAGTTGGATGAGCATCGTCCTGTACACCAAAAGGTTGCCGTTTGATTCCTGGTCAGGGCATGTAGGTTGTGGGTTCAGTCCCAGGTTGGGGCGCATATGGGAGGCAACCTGTGGATGTTTTTCTCTCTCTCTCTCCCTTCCTCTGCAAAATCAATAAAATGGTGCTTTTATATTTACCTCAAATTAGTGAAGATGCAGAGCTGCTGTGGCGTCTGGCTCGGGCATCGCGGGATGTTGCTCAGCTTAGCGGAACCTCAGCAGAGAAGAAAAAGGCCCTGGTGTACGAGGCCCTGAAGTACGCAGAGAGGGCGCTAGAGGAAAACGCAGCCAGCTTTGCGGCTCACAAGGTGAGGTGCCTGAAGTAACAACGGGGACCACATCCTGAGGGTGCACTGTCTTCGCTCGTCTGCTGTCCCTGATCGACATACGAAGGAACATTCTCTACTTTCAAGTAGGGAAGAGGCATTTTAGGAACTTTTTTCCTTTGCGTCTTGAACACTTGACCTTCGTTTGTGTGTCTGATAAGTTCCTCCCGTGAGTGCCCACCTCGACACAGGTGTGTTACTGGCTCGGGAATCCTGTCCCTTGACCCCAGGGTACAAGCGCTCGACAGGTGCCTTCTCATTTTCCTCGCCTTCCGTTTCTGGTCTGAGACCACATGTCGCTTTCCACCTGGGACTCCCTGGTTCCTGGATTTCCTGACTGGTTTAGCGCTGTGGTTCCCAGTGGACACTGGGGAGAGCGCAGGGCCTTATTGGCACTGGGTGAGGACATCACTTGACCATGTTGGATGGTCCTCAGTAGAGCTGCTGGCCATTGAGGTACATTTCCGAGGGTGCCCTTTAGGGGCTGCCCCCTCACTGCTCCCCCATGCACACTGGTGTATATTAAGGATAAAACAGATACAAATCATTTAAATGTGTTGAGACTTCTTTTGTGGCCCAGAGTACGGTCCATTCATGTTACTGATATGGTTTCATTCTTCCTGTGGCTGAGTCGCCTTCCGTTGTACTTGTGTTCCACCTCTCCTGTACCCACCTTACGTGCACACCACCTCTCCTGCACCCATTTTTCTCTGTTGACAGACATAGGTTCCTTTTGTATCTTGTGGTGCTATTGTCATTGGAATTGTTTTCTGAATTTTGTTTTCAGGCTGTTGGTTGCTCGTGTATAGGGATGCAGCTGACTTTTGCATATTGACTTCATGTCCTGTAGCTTTGCAAAACGTATGAATTGTGGATTGCTTAGGGTTTTCTGTATAAGACCATGTCATCTATAGAGAGTTAGTTTTGTTCTTTCCTTCCTTTCTTTTGCTGGGTTTCACTGGCTGGAGCTCCCGGCACGGGGTTGGAGTGGGATTGTCCTCTGGCTCCCGCTGTAGGGGAGGCTGGTGGACTCACCCCGTCTTAGGAATCTCTCGCCTGCTGTGTGGTATCTTGAGAGTCTTTATTTCTCATGTTTTGTCTGTTTTTAGTGTTTCAGGCAGGAAGGTGAGTGTAGTGTCTGTAGCCCCTTCCTGGCTGGAACATCTGCTTAAAAGTTTCCTTTAAAAGTGATGTGAACTCAGTATAGACGTAGACATTGTAGAAATTGAAGGAAGAGCACAAATATGGAAATAAAACCACCCATGGTCACTGCTCCTGCCATCAGCTCTGGCTGGTCCATAATTTTCTGTAAGTCACGAAATGCAGCCTCATCAGGAGAGTGCTTGCTCTGCACGTAGGTGACAGGTACGTGAGAGAAGGTGGCTTGATCCAGTCCTGAGATGAGGGAGCAGCTCAGAGCATCAGGTGTGAGACCCTGTGCGACCCTTCCAGTCACCTGGATTAGGGTCTGTCTATAGTCTATAGAGGGGGGTGTGTGTGTTTTAAATAGTTTTTCTTATTTTTAATAAACATTGAAAGGTAACAAAATATTTTGGTGGAGAATAGATTTAAACAGAAGTTTGAGTTAAAATTTTTCTGATTAAAGTTATTAAAATCACAGAGAAAAAAGCTCTAATAGGAAAGAGGGATGTTTATTGTGGGAAACTGTTGTAGTTCACAGAACCTGAGGACTCGGGTGGGGGGCGTTTAGGCTCCAGGAAGCACTAGCTCATGGCTGCAAGGCTGCCAGCTCCCCTGCTGTCCCCCTGTCTACCTCATTCACTGTGAACTCTCTCACCCTGAGCCCCAGGCTCCCTGCAGCAGCTGGGGTGTGGATCGGGGGTGTTGTGGATCCTTCCTAGGGAAGCAGCTCAGGTGTGGGTCTGTCGTCCCATCTGGCTGTGGGGACAAGGTCACCGTCAGCAGGCGTGGCTGCTGTTACTATAACAATGCAGATGTGGGAGGAGGCGGGTCCTAGAAAGGACAGGAAATAAAATGGTAGGTAGGGAGTCGTGGGTTTTTCTAAATTTATAACCAGACCCTTGACATGAATCACTCCGCATAGTGTTGACGACTTTTAGAGATTTGTTGCTCCCTGCGTGTCCTCTTGTGTGTGACGTGTGATTTCCTCGAGTCCTCTCCTCTTCTCTCTGCTCCAGTGCATTTGATACAGTGTTTAGTTACTTAGTATTACCTTGTATTGAACGGACATTGTTATCCTTGTGCCTTTTCTGTTTTCAGTGGTTTGCCATCTGTATTAGTGATGTCGGGGATTACGAAGGCATCAAGGCTAAAATCGCAAATGCCTATGTCATCAAGGAGCACTTTGAGGTACTGGTGAGCTGAGCAAGTGTGGCTTTCTCGTAGGTTTGTTTCACTCACCCCTTGCAGTTTAGCAGACCCCTCAGACTTGCGGGCTCAGCAGTGGCGGGTTCTCTCTCGGTCCGTGGTCGACAGCACCCATGCTCCTGCTCTGCGTGGTGCGGCGGAGCTCCCTGGGGCTGCATTCTCCTGCCCCTCAGGGCAGGTGCATGGACAGCTCCTGGTCTCCAGTGGCTTCTGTCCCTTTACTACATGGTCGCTGGCCTCCAAGAGTAAGCGTCCAGGGGGAAAGTCTGTGTGCAAACCTGCCTCACACTTGTCACACAGGTCATATGGCCAAAGCTGAGTCTGTGGGAGGGGACTGGACGGGGTCTATAGAAGGAGGTGTGGTCCTTTTTTTTTTTTTTTTAATTTAGAA